ATGGATTGGATTTGGCATACACTGAGAAGGCCGACTGGGGACATCACGCGTCAGGCCAGTTGCTCGAGTGGAATCCCCATGGGAAGCGACAATTTGGGCGTCCTAGCTGAGGGTGACATGGAGGAGGTCGTGAGAGGAGGAAATGAGAGGTTGTGGGCTGTCGTGGAGCCAGGTTGAAAAGATTTCAGAGAACAGAGTTCACAAGAGACGTGCTAGTGAGGCCCTATGTTCCATTAGAAACCCAAGAGACTCATAATAATAATATAATATAAGATAGAAAGAAGAGAAAGCTTCAAAATAATCCCATGTCAGCAATCATAGCCAAAAAGATATTAAAATGATGTCGAATAGAGATGGTAGATTACCCTACAATATGATCAAAATTCTTCTTTAGCAGGTGGTAAAAGAATTTATGCTGAATAACGAACTAGAAGAGTACCATTAGAAAGCATCTTAGAGAGAGTAAAAGCTCAAAGGGATGGGCTATGAAACATGAGAAGGAGCAGGACGAAGGCACTACCTACTAAATATCAATGAAAACAGATATTCAGGCTATTCAAAGCATTACAAAGGTTTTTTTGCGATTTGCATTAATTGCTTTTACACGTTACATAGCCACATTAGTCCACGCTGTAAAACTGTTCTTCACCAAGCTGCACCGAAAATGATGACCAGTGCTTAACCCTGAAAGCCGTGTTTTGAAACATTAAAACCCGAAAGAGCAATATATCTGTTAGAAAAGTAAAATAGGAGTGAAATATAGGCACTAAGTTAAAGTACAATTCCATTTTTGGTTGGAATATTTGATACATATCAACAAAACAGTATTATGCTGTGCATGAAACCAGTTAAGTCAGGTTTGACAATGCCTAAGGAGTGGCTTTAAAGGCCACCACTGAACTTAAGTCCGGAGAAGACTGTCTTTCTGCATACTATAGTCATTCTCAATATAACCTTCGTCTCATTCAGTTGTTCATTAACAAATCTGGTCGATAAGTCTAGTCTTTTGCCAGATTTCGTTTATATCCAAAAGACACAACAATAAAGGAATAAGTAAACTAACTTGTCAGTTTTGACTTGCCATACTATACTCCGTTTTTAAGGTTTTGTTTCACCTTTTCACCTGTAGATCACCTAAAAATTCGGCTCTGCCATTTTACTCTTTTTCTATGATGAAACTCACTCCCTAATGAAAGCAACCGAATTCATCAGGAACAACCCTAAAACCAACCTCAATGTGTCCGAGATCTATGAAAATGTCGTGTGTGTAAAGTAAATAAAATGCCAGTTGGCTCATTATTCCTTCCAGATTACTGTTCTCTAGTTTAGTCATATCGACTTCTTTCAAGAAGGTATCGGTTTGGCAGTTTGTTGCTTTAGTTTTCTACTTAAAATCCATCAGATGAATGTACCTGCATTTCAAGTTTGTTACCATAACGACTAAAACTCGTTTCTAAAGTAGAAGCCTAATCTATCAGACTCATCCATAATATCGACAGTCGCTGAAATGAAAACATATGCATCAGGTTAGTGTGAAACAAGTCGAAACTCAATTTATAGATTATGCTACTGACAGTTATTGTATCCGTTCCACAAGGAGTGACCATCGTGCCTCAGTGGTGTTTAAAGCAATTGATCCTTGGTTTGAGTTCTGGCGGGAACAACATCACTCACTAGGAGATAGATACCTTCATCTAACGTGTCCCAAATAAGCTGAAACGTGCGTCCTGGATTCCATTGTTAACCACCAACCATCATCACTACCAAACCTTCCAATTCCTTATCCTTACATAAAGGTAAACTCAGGGTATGACGCTCATAATCAGTATGGAAATAAACATCCTTTTGCTGTTTGTAGGAGTTTCCGATTTCTAAGGCTTCAGTTCTCAGTGCTTGAAATATGAGATGAATTTAGCAGACTTCCTCATATTTCTCCTATGAAACTCAGGGTTTTTTCACCTCGTAATAGGTGTGCTCATCAAAGGGGATATCATGAGCAGGTTAAATAAGATTATAAATGTTTATGGAATTCACCATTCGGTCACGCAACTTTGGTACCGCAAGTGTTACTTTTGAAAAGCATCCAATCAAGATCTTGATCTATGACAGGTGATACTGAGGTGACACCAAGCAACCAAGTATACATCCACCGCATCTGTACACACAAATCACTAACCAGATCACAAATTTCTTGACAGTGGATGACTCGTATACTAATTTTTAATCCAGCTAGCCGGTGATGTATCGCAATAAATTCAGCTCACATGACGAAAGTGCTCAGACTATGCTATCTGTTAACTGAGTTAAGTATATCAGCACACCTAACTCAACTCCCGGATTCGATAAGGTTAGCTCAAAACGTTCACTAAATTCTTATAAAGACATGATGTCTCCTTGTTAGTTCCATCTTTTTAACTACGAAACCCTAAAGGAGTAGACTTTTACGCTTTAAGCAGTTATGATAATCTGGTTTTGTAACTCCTTTCTTATGCAGTTTCTAGAAAGCAAACAAAATCTTCCCCTCCCTCCAACTTTGGATATGAACAATTCACCATACCACACCATCGCCAAAGGGCTATCTGAAGTCCTTCGACCAGTTAGAAAACAGTCAAATATCCACAGAGTATTGAATTCTTTCGAATTTGTTGACTCATTTGACGATGTCAACGTATACCGTAAGCGAATGATTTCTCTTGATGAAACTTCTCTCATTACCAATGTCTCTCTAACGGAAACTATTTATTTTCTATGAGATTTCATTAAAGATAATAATTTTCACACGTGTGTATGCCAAAGCATTATTTAAAAGAATTACTTCTAAAATATACTTTCAATGTGCAGTTCAAATTCAGTAACCACCTAGGCAGACAACAAGATGTGGTTGCTATGGTGTCACCATTTGTATTGCTGATTGCTTTATGGCAAACTTTGATAATAGTGAGCTCCACTCAACAATTGATAGTTTTTATTAGTATAAAAAGTATATGGATGATGCACTCATCACATGCGATCAAAATACTAATATTGAGAGTGTAGTTAAAGGGTTTAATGATTGTCACTCATCTGTCAACTTCAACTTGAAAAAAAACTCAGTAATTCACTTTCTCGATGCGTTATTGAAACGGAGACCGAATGGCTCTTTCCAGAGACTGATTTATAGGAATCCAAAACGGAATGGAGAGTACTTGAGTTCCTATAGCTAGTGCCTGTCAACAGGAAAATGAATCTGATTCCTTCTTCGTTATCAAGAATCAGAAGAATGAATCTACACGACTGATACTATCGACGATGAATTGGACAAACTCCCACTAATTCCCATACAAGATAGATTCCTATCCAGATTTATTGAGAAAATATTGAAATTAAAACAAAATACCACTCACAACTTCAAAGGAGACTTTGTTTATGAACATTATTTTCACAGGTGGTTAGACAGCACAGATACTTAAGAATCGGCTATCTAAATCACTGAACAACACATTCTTCTATGCGAAGCTACAGATCACCTACTCCTCTAGTGAGAAATTGATCCCGGAGTGTGTTAAAGCACAACTACCCAATCTGAGCCACCTCACTGTGTGTGTGGGTGTATGTCTACAAGTTTACTTACTCTTATGAAGCTACTTATACAGGCAGCACAAAGCACACAATTTCAAAACGCATCTCTGAGCACTATCCTGTATGATTGTCGAGGGATGCATGTAATTCGAATAACACTTCAATTCTTGAATGTATGGCCAACTCTGTACACATAAATCCACCAGACTCCTCCTCCAGTGTCATTTACACAGTCAAAGGGAATAGTTCAGATGGAGTACGCCTTCGACAATTGTACACGACAGAAGCACTCGCAATTCACCAATTCAAGCTTGATCTCTGTGTGCAGAAAAAGCATGTTCAATCTCTTATCTTACCACAGTGTTAACACTTTCACAATTCTTTCTGATTTCATTATAATTAGTTGAGTTTATTATTAGCATCACCTTCACTATGACCTTCGTTTCTTTCTTCACATTTTTACGTCTGTCAAGTTGACACTGAATCTCTCTCTGCACTTCACATCTATCGAAAATTTTAAGTTTATCAACCTTCTTACCTTTCTCATTTCATTTCCATTGTCTAAAAGATTATTACGTCACTGCTCTCGATTCTTGATTTCAGTTTTTACCACAAGCGTAATGATGCAGCTAAACCTTACTGTTCAATAATAGACTAATATGTATTTGTGATGTATATAAATACGTTTGTGGATTTTTTAGTAAATAATATCATCGAAAAAGAAAATGTTCTTCGGTGATTTATCTTTTATTTTCAGCAAGGCAGTGTACTCCAGAGGGTCTTGTGTTCGAACCCCACTTAACTTATTGAGGTCCAAGCAACCAGCCGATATCATTAGCCGTCATAAAATAGGTGTGATTCATTGTCTGGCTTACGAATTTGCGTGTGGTCGTCAATTCACAATTATTACAATATACTTCAGAACTACTGAGTGAATCAGCGGAATTAATCTATACTACAACGCTGATCACTCACCATTACGAATATACGAATAAGCATTGTACTCTTGTTTAGCCCGTCATGGTCACCTTGTTCTTCAACACATCTGATGAAAAGAGCTAAATTATTTCATAAAGTTTACTTTTAACAGTGTACAATTGGAATGTAATGATCAGTAAAAACAAACTATGGAATTAAACAATCTCACTGAAATCTGTTACTTACTTGACCTGAAATGTATCATATATACTTATTTATGTTTAACACCTCTGTTATCTAGCCTTAATGTGTGCAAAATAAAGAACACTACGTTGCCATACACACCATGACCTTGACACTTGAATAAAAATCAAGCATACATAAATAAAAATGCCAATATTCAAAAAAATTCTTTGCATGTATTCTATTTTTATTCATGTGCACTTTATAATTAATTAGCTTTGCCGTTAATAAGTGTTTACTCTAGCACCTACTATTCACATCATACACATCACATTTGGTGTATGCAAATTGATGGTGAGTGTTAAAGCTGAATGATTCTTTGTATAATAGTACATTGAAAATTGAGTCCATAATGCCTTGATGACAAAAAGAAAAGAAAGTATGTTACATTGTGAGTGAAGCCTATCAACTTCAATCCATGTAGTTCTGTGAGGCTTTTTTGAGGTAATGCACAGCCGGTGATGTCCATCGACAGTGCCTCTTGTCACTGGTGATGTTCAGTTTGCGATAGATCTAGACAGTTGTAGTGATTATTTACAGCTCACGGTGCTGTTGTCCACAGTCAGTTGTCCTCCTCTGAGCAGGGTTTTTTAGTTGGCAAACGTTCGACTTTCATACTGGACATTGTCATCAGTGAGTGAAGCATAGCTTCCAAGTGACAGTACAGAAAACTTGACCGGTAGACCTGCGCCATCACATAGGAATAAACAGCTACAGAGGTTACTAACGGGTGACCAATTGGCAGCATATGGTGTCTATTAACAATTTGAAGATGGACATAAAACAGAGATTTCAAAGAAGGAAATCTCTGCTTGTGAGGATTTCATTTTCAACAACTGTACAATAGTATTCATATATAAAAGGAGGTGTTTCAGTTTAACAGTAAAATGAGTCATAAGTTGCATTCACATGAATAAGGATAATACTTCATGAATCAGCGAATCAGTTAGAAAATATCAGAGTTCAGGGGTTAGAAACGCGAGAATAGTGAGTAACTTCATTTAAAAAGGTTCGGTGAAGATAATGTGAAACAGTAAAAGTACATACTATTTAAGGTAGATATGAAAAGATAAATACCAGAAGTCAAACTGGAATAATATACCATAATAAAATGGAATTTTTAAAAAAACCAGGAAGAAACAGTTGCATGAAACATGAGCACTTCTCGTAGGTGACCTGATACACCATCTAATTACGCAAGATGTCAAAAGACGGACTAAAAAACGACCGACCATTTAGTTGATGATCGAAGTGTACTAGAAGTAAAGAAATGTACTACTACTACTACTACTACTACTACTACTACTACTACTACTACTACTACTACTACTACTACTACTACTACTACTACTACTACTACTACTACTACTACTACTACTACTACTACTACTACTACTACTACTACTACTACTACTACTACTACTACTACTACTACTACTACTACTACTACTACTACTACTACTACTACTACTACTACTACTACTACTACTACTACTACTACTACTACTACTACTACTACTACTACTACTACTACTACTACTACTACTACTACTACTACTACTACTACTACTACTACTACTACTACTACTACTACTACTACTACTACTACTACTACTACTACTACTACTACTACTACTACTACTACTACTACTACTACTACTACTACTACTACTGAATATAGTGCAGCGGAATCTAGTGGAACAATTTTTGTGATAGGTCTATACCTCTTTCGAACATTCACATATATGAGTAACTGTCAAATAAGACAGAAATTTTAATACACGTATAAAACTTGGGCACCGTGGTAGAATTTAATTCCATATTAGATTTGTTTATTTGATTTATAACACACAATGGTCTAGTATTATTTACTTGATGACGTTTCGAGCATAAATTATCATTGCTCATAATTATATCAGTGTAATCACACTACTTTCAACATTTGATTGTTATAGTCGAAAGTAGTGTGATTACACTGAAATGATTATGAGCAATGATAATTTATGCTCGAAACGTCACCAAGTAAATAATACTACATCACTGAGTGTTATAAATCAAATAAACAAATCTAATATAGGCAGAAAGAGGTTTCTATTCACATGAATATGAAATGATTAGCTGCTTATTGGACTTGACTTCCACCCTTCAATAATTGCAGATAACTTAATTGTTGATATCAATAAATATTATTTCTATTTTCCTTATCTACATATTCAGTAATTGTATGGTCTCTTTAGATGTGACTATTATTATGGTTATTTACACTTGTAATTTCTCGTTGCTATGCAGGGCCGAATTCCTCGACCTCTGTAAACAGACAGGCTCCTATGCGGATGTCTTGATACTGCATGAATATTCTTCATGTTTTAGTTTACTTGATAACCATCAGTGGAATTTAGGAAATTGATCCCGTCCTATTTGATAGCTGCCAGCCGGATGTAACTGCACCCCAGTGAGTGGTGGCTTTTTCAGTGAGACAGAGGTCAACCAATTCGACCCAGTATACCAACGGGAAACTACAAGTATCAGTAAGCAACAACTGATACCCATTGCACAAGAGGTGGCTGTTATTCACCAGTGGCTTTTGAAGCGATAGGCACTGGATTCCAGTCTCACCAGGAATACTGCCATTCACTAGGTTGTAATTACATCTAGCTGAGGAGTCCAAACTAGGAGGGAACGCTCGTCCTGGACTCCACTGCTACGCACCAAATAAATCAGCAGTTGATTTTCCAGTTAGTTTTCTTAATCACAACTCAGTCTGGATCATGGTGATAGTCATAAGAGGAGAAAAAGGTCGAGAACCAGGATACATCGTAACAATTATGGTTAGCGTTTCGATCAACATTCATTTAGCACATGAATCAACCAAATCATCTTTGTCAGAATGTCAGTAATATTGCATCAATCCTTCTAAAGTCAATGAATAATCTTAACTGGTTTCGATTATTTGTACCTTCAAAGTTAAATAAAAAATATCCGCTAGACTGCAAATCAAATTTAACTGATCGATACGAGAGTAAAAAACCTACTCTGTAATGGATTTTTTGAGTTGTAGGAATCAATAAAATTAGTGTTCTTTTTCGAAAATTGAAATTGCTTTATTGATGATAATATGTTATTCAAATATTATTCAGTTTCGTAGTTCATTTGTGTTTAGGAACTTAAAATATGTTCACTGTAGTGTGTGTAATATTATAATGGAAGGGAATTTAACTGGGTGAATTCATTTAGACATACTTCCTACAGATTGCATATCAGATTCTTCCTGAAAACTGCCTTACATCTCAATAATACAGCTCAGTGAATTCAAGGTAGTATCCATCATGGAGTGACATCAAATGGAGCAATGGATACCCGTTTCATCCTAACACGGGACTCCTCAGGGGTGCACACCTACGACCCCAGCAAGAATCGGACCCAGGACTATGAGATCTCACGGCAAGCAAATTGTCGCTCACTGGTAATTGCCTCAACCTGAACTGCCCAAAGTTCTATTAAAAAGCCATGATCAGTAGGATCCTTTAAATAAGATGTCCAAGACAAATATTCACCAATGACGTTGAGTATTGACATCGCTACATCGCGAATTGACTGAATTCCAAGCTATTGACGAAACCTGATGATCCATCTTTTCTAATTCCGTGTACTGATCAAGTTCCCTCAGTCATTTCGCAATTTCTTCATCAAGTTAGAAGACTCATCATCGTAGTGAACTTTGACAGACCTGTGTGGTTGGCTCCACTTCAACCAACGAGTATTTTGTTCAATATTCAACGGTGAGAATGTCTAATTAATTCATTTAAAATTAATACGTTTCTACAGTACATTACATTTCGTGCCCTTCGTGTCTAAAAATTGGTTGACTGAGCATTTTTCTATGTTGTAAAATTCCCCAAATCGATAGGAAATTACTGCTGAAATAAAAATTCTGAACAATAAACATAAATTAATACTATCATAATCTAACTGAAATTGCACTGGATGCTAAATTATTTATATGCAGATATTTTGAATGTGTATGCGTTTAGGCATGATGCACTGAATACCGATTACCTTTCAATATATCAATTACTCTGACAGTCAACTCTCTACCTCAACTTTATCGACTTCGAAGAAGCGTGGGATAGCGTCAACCGAGAAAAAATTTGGCAGGCAGCTAGCTGATTCAACACTACTGTTTCAGTGTCACGAAAACTTATCAACCTCATTCAACAGGTATATGCTATGCTATATGATGAGGCTACATGTCAAGTGATTCACAATGCAAAGCTCAGTGACACGTTTGAAGTGAAGACGGAGGACAGGAGTAAGACAAGGCTGCCGTCTACCATCACCGATCATCTTCCTGATTGTGGTCGACTAGGTCATGCAACAGAGAACTGTGAGGAGTGAGAAGACCCCAGAAGAAGATTTGGATTTCACCGATGGTGATGATTTGTGTCTAATATCTTTTCGCACAAACGCGAATATGTACAGGGAAAATCGACAAGTTGACAGAAGAGGCGAGACGAGGCGAGGCAGCGAAGACGGGAATTCAGTTGAATGTGGAGAAGACGAAGGTGAAGAAGGGACCCTACTAACAACATCAACATCAGCAACAAGCACGAATCACCCTGAACGGGAGCAATCTGAAGTAAGAATTCACTTCACATGCCTGCCTATCTACTTATCTAGGCAGTATTGTCTCAACTGCAGGCGGCGGCTGAGGTGGCACAGATGAGGATGGGTAAAGCAAGACAGACCTTCATTAATCTGAAATCATTGTGGATATCTACTGCACTGCACTGCACTCAGCATAAAGTGTGAACAACATCCAGATTCTCAACACTAATTCAGTCGAATCAGTCTGTACTTCTATGTGATGGTTGAGAGAGTTGGCGTGTCACAAAAAGCATTTCCAACAAACTACAGACATTCATCAACAACTACCACCTATGCTCACTGGATACTGAAGATGGAGATCAGATGGCCAGAATAATGAGGATTAGCAACAAGGAACTCTGGCTGGCTGGGCAACGAACCAACCAAGAAGCTATCACTCAACAAAGATGCAGAAGGAAGTGGAGATGGATTGGGCATGCACTGAGAAGACCATTCGGGAACATCACGCGTCAGGCCAGTCCTTCGAGTGGAATGCAAAGGGGAAACGGTGAGTTGGGCGTCACAGGTGAGAGTGACATGGAGGAGATGGTGTGAGGAAGAGATGAGAGCTTGTGGGAAGTAGTGGAGCCAGGTTCGAAAGATTGCAGAGAAGAGAGTGGAATGAAGACGTGTTGCTGAAGCCCTATGTTCCACTAGGAACCCAAGGGAAAAATAATAAATAATACTAATATTGATTACTCAGATCTATACTGATTTCAGTTAGATACCAAATCAACCCTTGAAATGAATAATACTCAAATGTATCCAGTAAGTTGTTTATATACCTTGTAATTTCGGAGCTTTTGTTGTTGAATGAACCACTTCGGACATTTTAACATAAAATATAATTGATTTATTGTAATGAAATATGTAAATTATGCAGGTAGGCTGATTTCAAGCGAACTAACGCGAAACTAATTCAAGTGGATAAATTGAAAGATGTAGATTGTTTTTACAGCATTCATGTTGAAACAGTCATTTGTTTGTTTCTCTATAACAGTATGCTGTTCAACGCTTCTTCTTTTAACGTCCCACCTCTTGTTTTCACTATATAGTTAGATGATAGAATATGTTCAGTCGAAACCTGCGTAAATTACTTCGGGCAAGATTTATTGAGCACTAAAAAAATGTTTCACCTGTCTGCGAGATTCTCTGATAGTAAGAAGCAGCAAATGGGCCTCACGGTGAGAGTCGGATGCTTAAACACGTTTCTTTTTCTAGACAATTGTGTTATAAGTTTAACTTCGTGCTGTCCTATGAATAAGTTTAAATTTATCCCTTAGAGTTCACTATTATCTCTCTAGTTATACCACAGGTCTATACAGTAAGCCTTAAACTACTGACGATAAGAACTGTCAGCAATCTACCTTGTTTTTCAGATAAGTAGTTGTCGCACACAGTCGATGAATTTTCAGGCAACGTTGACGAGTTTCATAGCTGTGAAATCTGCCTTCTCTTCAGTCATATACGTAATACAGTATACAACCTGTCAACGGAATGCCTTGTTTAAGTTATCGCATTTGTCACGTAGCTCAAACTTCACAAAAAATGATTCGTTTTATGTCAGCATTAACTCATAATTAAAATATGATCAAGTATACGTGTGTATAACACTTTACTGGCTGCTAGGAAGCCAGATATATTAGTTGCTTGTTGTACATCTAATTCTTTTGCGTTCAACAGTGCTATGCTGTTTACTTATAAAGACGTTCTTGTTGGTAGTACAGTCACAAAATGTATCAACACTGTCTATTGACTGTCAGTAAGATTATTATCTAAAGGTGAGTAATACCGTGTTTTTTATTCTGTCCACGTCTTTAAAGCTCTAACCATTTAGATTTTAGGTTTTAAGTTAATCGATGTGGAGGTTTGTGGGGATTTATTTATTCATTTCAGGTTATTATACATGACGGACTGACATCATCTGGAGGACAGTTAAAAACCTGAAGGCAATGAACCTTTTTTTCTCCCTACTATAGGAATCCTCAAGAGTGCCAATCCAGGCCCTTCAGGTTTCGCAGCCAGCGCGTTACCACTGAGCCACTGGGTCGAAATCCAGTGGTCCATGCGACCTCTATACAATACTGTCATTGAATAACTGTCCTCACTTCCGAATCAGCTATCTCCACCGATC